GACAGGGGGAAGCCAAACAAACACTGACTCCCTAGGGGCAGACAGTGACAACACAGAGCGATGCGCGATGGGCGGTTACCAGACTGCTGACACGGTGAGCCGTTACCACCCAGAGACGCAACCTATGCAGAGCGGCTCGAACTGGATTGGCAGACTACGCCCGCGGACGTAAGGAGCTGTATATATCGAGAGCCAGGAGCCGGAGGATTCATTCTCTGAAGATGGATAGTCGAGATAACTATTCGAATCGTCAGACCACAAATACACCTCTCCCGGTGACGCCCTTTCTCCTTCTGACTTACCACCTGGGAATCGAATTTTCGCTACTATTTTTTACTTGTGTTTTTCTCAGTGCTAAATTGGAATATTTGTCCTTGGATGGGTAAACGTTTTTCTGCTCTGATGCCTACGTTTGATATTTTAGCAAATACTATCAGTAAATTCAACATGAAATTGAATTTCAGTTGATTAAAGTTATGCCTAATGCGCTCGATTTCACAATCCTCTGACGGTTAACCAGGATTAATAATGACATTTGTTTTATTTTTCGGCGAATTTGAGGGCATAAACAGATTTTCAGTCAGAGCCTTTGAAATGTGTATCTGATTAATGAACGGTGTTGGAGCAGGAACCTTGATAATAAAAGCTGACGGTTAAAAATTCAACAAAGGCGGACTAACTAGAGCGAGCGTAAACGTGTTTTAGCATTTTGCAAGGTAATGTTGGCATAAGACAGCTCTTAGCTTTCTATTAATTTGGACCATTATCAGAAAAAAATAAAAGATACGCGTTGTTATTCTACAGGCAGACTGAAAATTTCCAAGATTTTATGCTCGTTTTCGGAGTTTAGGACAAATGAAATATGTTATGTTGAATTTTCTAATTTTTAGGTTCTAATATAGTTCTGGTAGAAATGTAGCATGGACAAATGTATTTTTAAGTTGGTTTGGCAGATTTGGTTAATTTTCCCAATTGTGAAGTTATTAAGTTGGTTTGACAGATTTGGTTAATTTAGTTGACCCAATTGTGAAAGACTCGCGGCATTCGGCGGGATTCGAACCCGCATAGGAGGGAGGCCTTTTACGGAAGCCAACGCTCTACCTACTTGAGCTAGGAATGTCGCGCTCATTTCTATAGTGGAGTACCAAATTGACTTCTTAGCACATCTGCATGAGTCTGAACTTGTTTTGTTTTAAAATGATGTGAATTAAACTTTACAGCCGAGTATTTTATGGAGCTATCGATAATTTTTAATATGGTCGAATCAGGAAAAAACGATTTTTCATCTATGGTGCCTTGCTTCTTAGAGGGTAAAATCTTTATAACAGGCGGCGAATTATTACGGTCGCCCCAAAATTCTCGAGTATCATGTTTTTCCGTATAAACTTAAATATTTCACATCTGTTCCTTACGTAAAATTTTTAATTTTAATGTTGAAGTGCCAAATCTGGAGTGTAGCGACAAATCTTTCGTCCACCGGTTTACGTCACTTTTTCTACGGCTCAAATTAATTCACATTTGGGCATTGTGAAAATTTGACTTTAATGATCCATTTGCAATTCATATGTTTAATTTCCACGTCCGAAAGAAAACGTCTGTTAAGGCATTCTTAAGAAAGCGATGAGAAATAAATTAAAACCTGCTCGACATATTCACTCCATGCTCTCAATTACTTCGACGATGACGTTGATGTTACGCACTTAAGATCTTATCTTCAATACTCTCCAACGGACCTATAGGAATTCATTTTTAAGACTTATTCAACTAATATGCGAAAAAATTCGAGGTCCAGATAAAATATTTCTTTCATCAATCCCAGAAGAAGAAGAGACGATTTCTGGGACCGATGTGTGTTTTGGCAGAACTTTCGAAAGCGTGCTCGCTTCCATCGTCAGAGCGTGTTGTCTGTACTCCTGTTCCCGTCAAATGAATGTGTCCGACCAGTAGCTTTGCCTAATGTCCATGTGTCAATCGATTGCACCGAGCAATTCAAACAGCCACGAAAATCGTCGGTGCACACGGACCACACGTTTTGACGATGGAAGAGAGCACGCTTTTGAAACGTCATCCAAAATACACACCGGTCGCAGAAATTGTCTCTTCTTCTTTCTCTTCCGGGGATGATGAAAGGAATACTCATTCAACTGCATCCCTGGTGGTTATTTGGAAATTTGTTTGCTTTTCTGATTTAGTAGGACAAGTAAAACCTTCAAAAATCTCACAAGGGATAGCATGTGCGAAATAACTATGGGCAACTTTCTCGAATCACATTTATTTGCAACGTACACGTATGCAAAAGGAAAACGAAATGGTGCAAGACAAGATTCTGCTAATGTCTGAGCAGAAACTGTTCACTTCTATTGGAAAATAATAGCCGAACCAATGTCCTGGACCGGTATGTGTTTTTCAGTGCGGAACACATGTCCAGATGACAATATTTCCAGCTGGAACTATTGAAAAGTAAAATAAAGAGACGTTTTTCTTGTAGCGGCATATGCTCCACAAAGCCTACTGCTTTCTAGAAACCGCCAGTCAATGTGTTCTGCTCTGATTTTTTGGAATTCTCGTGGAGTGAATAATCCTTGGTTTCTATATCGCCTCTCAGTGGCGATTGGTTAGCTGGGATGGAGAAACGCTTCTGTTCTGAATCAAGGCCCGTTTTCTGTGAATTTTTAGCCTGCTCCTCTGTTGGGCTTTCGTCAAGGTGCCTAGCACGTAATTCTTTCTCACAGAGGGAGAGGACACTTGCTTTCTTGCGGTTCAGCGGTAAACGCAGTCTCTCTAAATGCGTCCGCACTGGTAGGAAGGCGGAAGATCCCCGATAAGAAGAGATGCTCTTCCGGCGTTTGGATGCTCGCGATTGAGATTCGCCACTTTGACCACAGGGCATTGAGTTTATCTAAAATGACACAAATTATACTTTAAAGATTATAAGCGGATTACCATTAATGACGTAGAAATGAGAGAAAATTCTAGTTTATTACCCTCATCAGCCAGCCATCCTATAGCCCAAATGGAGCAACACCCGAGGATCAAACCCACGCTCTGTTGGTTGGAAGTCCAGTGAGCACTGGGTAGTTGTGCTGTTAACTGCGATCCGATATATTATTGCAGCTGGTACCACATTTTTCAACTTCGAAATAACCAAATCACAACATCAAGGGCAATCATTGGCATGGCATACATCGGCAGACAATCATGTGGGTATTTTTCCTCTGATTCTAAGAATTTATGAGTTTTGTAGAGCGTAATGCGCAGTATATTGTATGTCTTTATCGGTAATGTCTTTCTGCCTATATTCTTAGCCGAGCCGCCGTGAAGGCTAGACTGATAGCTCTAATAGCAACATGGACGGACGAGTAAGTTCGCTAACAGATGGGTGTTCGCGTATCTGCCAGTGTATATCTCCGATCTGATACCGGCAATACAGCGAGGTGGTAGCTCCACGTTTAGGACGTTTGGCTCTGATCAAAGAGTTCACGAGTTCGAAGTTTGGATGTGACACTACCTGGGTCTGGGTATGACTAGATGACGACGGCTAATAAGCCAGAAATGGTCATCCCAGTCTCCATTGTCTTGGTCGGTAATGTACTTCTGCCTATATCTTATATATATGACGACTGCACAGGTGCGAACAACAGACCCCGGGGGACCCCTGAAAGGAAGTTGATTCGCTTCAAGGCGCACGATGACTAAGCTTCCATTCCTGCCCCGTTCCCCTTCGTATGTATTGGTTTAATCCCTATCTACCTAACTATCACTGCCTATAAATACTGTGAGGTGCGGTAAAAATCTCACCTCTGATTATATAAGCCTGTACGCTTTTCAAACGTCAGGAGAGTAAAAGTAGGGTCCCCGTGATTGCCTCTTCTTCTCATATATAGCTATATGTGTATTGTCTGATGCATTAATGTTGCCAGAAGTATTCCAAGAAAGCTGCATATTGTAGTATACTAGGTTTGCCAGTGTTGGGTAAGTATTAAATTGACGGGCAGCTTTGAGTGTTGTGTAAAATAACAGAAGAGCTTTTTTAGTACATCACTTTCTATTCCAAAATCAGAAAACCAAGTGTGGTAAGGAATTTTACGTTTCCCCATTTCCGGCCCATAATAGATAAATAACGTTAAATATTATAAGTTCTGAGGAAGAGATTGTAGCCGCTTATCCGTTTTAGTTTTCTTCGGGACCTAGCGGTTAGAATCGTTATCACTTCTGTGCCATCGACCTTCCGAGCTTCCCTCCGAATACGTTTGTCAGGTTTAGCAAAAATATATTTCAACAGCCGCAAAACAAACCACCAAACTGCCAGTATCTACGGCTGACACCGAAAACGTGCTTCGAAGGTGAGACGGGAACGTTAAAAGTCCTGCACTATCAGGTTGGGGGATATTACTATCATATTGAGCAATCTAGAGGGCGCGAAATACGGAAATTCCTTCTTTCTGTTTGCTGTGGAGTTATCGGTTTTTAAAACGCAAACATAGTTTCTTGGCATCTCCAAATGTCAAAAATGTCTGTGATGGCTAAATTTGATAGTGGAGTGCAAAACGGCTGTCGCCTACGTCATCGCAGAAAGGGGCAAAATTTCAATCTAACTGTCGAGGCAAATTTCAATACTATGAGTGTTTTAGCAGCAGTCAGTGGTGTTCATCAGCGCACTGGCGCCAAATAAGTTAGTGACCTATCAACTACTAGAAATATATACCTTTCTTCCGAAGGTTCAGTATGGTGTCGCGGTGGTTTATTTCGTGATGATAAATGCGCCAAAAACGCGGAACAATAGCCGCAACATATGCATCACATTCAGATTAAAACTGCTTCTAAAGTAGGGTTTAAACTTTTGTCTGTGTAGCGCGGCTCCAGAATGAGTCCAAGAGTACAACCGAAGGATTGGGTCCCGTAACCGATCGACAAGCACCAATCTACGTCTATTAATATTAAGGATCGAGCCCGTGACTCAATACTTAGGCCTTTAGACTTTTTATTACCAAATCGCGGTTTGGACTTTTGGGTTAGGCAACAATTAATTTGCTTATCGCTCATTGATGACGTCCGTTATGCCAGAATAACCATTACAGTCTCTTTTTCCTTTGTCGATAATTTTATTTGGTCTGTATGTAGAAGGTTACAATTTGATTTCTAAAAAAAGATATTTTGATTTTCATCGCCGCTTTAAATTAAAATAATTTGCATGGACTAACAGCAATTTTAGGGGTGAGTAGCAAGCAACCAGAGTAGTAGCAGGAAATGGTCGAATCGCTTCTCCCGTGATGTGATACGAGAGCGAGTGGGAGTGGGAGCCGCAAATCACGCGCCTCACGTTGGTCTCTGCGGGTTACTATGCCCACACAAGCTGGCCTTCGTTTTTTATCCTGGTCCACCAGAATATTAGATTGTTTAGTATATATATACTTGTAGTTTCTTGCAAACACAATTTTCCGGTCAATTAACTGCATAGTAACCTTAAGTTTTTTCCTGCTATTTATAAACACTCACCGCATTTCCCTTTATAAATAAAATGCTCACAGCTCCACCACAAAAATGCGAGCCTTCAAACAAGCTCACATAGTCACCTGTAACATCTGGCTTGTGTTTTAATAGAATGCCAGGTTTGAGCGAAACGTTTAAATGAGTTTACACAACTTAACCTTTGAATTTGCGAAATCCAATGAGCTCTCTTATTTGGGCCTACTACAGCTATGGAAATAGGAACGGTTTTAGAAGGGCAAATTTTTTATCGTCGCTGCTACGCTAGGCTCAATTAAATTTAAAAAGTCAGTCTTCCTGTCATTAAACATGGCAAAAATTGTCGTCAGGCACCATCTAAAAATAAATTGGTTCCAATATTCCCTTCACTCATTAGGAGCACTGCGGGTTGGCAATGACTCTATTTCAATCAGACTAATAAGTAGAAATCCACACGCCGGAAGGAAATATGCACCATTTCATGAGTATATTGTTAAGTCAGAAAAAGAAACTAGGTGTTGCTACGACACAGTACGTAACGAAAAGCGTACCAGTTTCCGGTACAGGTCTGCACAGAACGCCGACAGACTCCGTGCGTCCAGTTTAGAAAATAGGGTATTACTTAAAGTTGTAATTTGCCAACACAGCCACTAGCTTTTATCCCCTGATGAGTGTACTGGGGGAACGGCAGACTACGCATTTTCCGTATAAATGAACTAGAAGTTATCCATCGCTTGCCTACGCTCTCCTACATGCTTTAGGATTGTCCGGAAATTGGCAGGAATGGCGCGTTTCGCTCCAAAAAGTACACATATTTCGACAAAAGCGTCACGCATATTGTGGCTGTTTTTAGTCCAGGCGTGTCATACTGCATAGGTTTTGCGTCTGCATTTCCACGCCAGAAGCACTACTCACCTTATTCCTGCGTTGCCATTTATAAATCCGCCCCGGTTGTTTGAAATGCCCTCTGCTACGGTAGGGGAATGTGCGTGAGCCGTGATCTGGAGAGCTGATAAAGTGCACACCCTTTAATGGGTATTCTGAAATCTGGCTCTTTAGCCAAGTCTTTAGAGGGGATTAACTGGAAAGGAATCTCCCGTTTGCAGCATGAATGACGCTACTGGCCGATGGCTTAAGTTGAGGAGAGTCCATATATGGTACTAGTCCAGACTGCTTCGACTATAATATGTAAACAATCAAAGGCGCACATTCAACTTGAAATAAAACGACCGTCCTTGTTTTGCTTCAGGACACTGACGGTTATTTGCACATTTTTAGGATGAGGTACTTGAATGCGTTTGTGAACTTTGCGTGTTCTAACTTAATTAATACGAATCCTGAGATCACTGGGTCGGTTCAGTTCCGTCTACTTGCGAGAAATGAGAAACTTTGAACTCCTTGGCTGCTGCATGCAGCGAAAGTATATCAAAAATGTGGAATGGAGAATACCTCAAAGGAACAAAGGAAATGTCAAAAAAATACAGATGGATAAATTATTTCGTGCGTCAGCGGTACTTGGAGATATATACGTACACACGCGCGCGCAATGACGTAGTTACCTTAGGCGCGCGTATAATACAGTGAATGATGTGTGGTCCGCAAGCGTCATTCGAAATATAAATAGGAATGTACGCTAAGGTTCGGACATGAATGAAGCATATAACCAAATGTTTTGTATCAAGCCCTCATGAGCATTTGTCTAAATATGTACATATTTATAAATTTGCATTCATATATTGAGACAAAATGACCCCAAAGCTTGCCTTCTAGTCTCCTGTGAACAAAAAAGCTTAATTCAACCACTCTAGTCTAACGAAGAGCAGACATGACGGAACGGCCTACTGAACCTTCATATTATAACAAAAGTCGGTTGTAAAAGATGTTTTTATGCACATCGCGGTCAGTGGTCGAACAAAACATCTAACTCGATATGGTATAGTGGTCAGAGGTCAGACCTTGCGCAAACTTTCCCAGGCCCAGTCGAGTTTTGCGGCACAAAATAAGTACCCAAATTGTTAGGGTGTTGGTACTAAATTTTATTTAGCGGCAAAAAATGCGGTGGCCACAGTAGGCGCTGAATCCAAGACAGCAAGGTGAAAGCATTTTTTACAGCCGACGCTCTAGTCACTTGAGCTAGGAGGCCTAATCGGGTTGCGTGAGTTCAATTAAAGTCTGGTCAAGTTACTCGTCCGGTCGTGGACTCGAAACAAACCGACTAGGTCTGCTTAAATACTAAAACTTTTTTTTACATTTTAGCAGCAGCGAACTGTCACGAACGCAACAATGTCTTGAACAAAATATACTACATAAAAACTTGTTTTTTTCGGCGAATGCAGGCCGTTCCGCCTTATGCAGTAACATCATTTCTTAAATGCACTAGATATTTGAATTAAATGAGGCAGGAATGCGTCAGTTTATAACAAT